GTTCTCTYCAGTTCAGAATATTCTTGGACCTACAGTGCATTTATTCCCTGTAATTGCACCTGGCAGCATTTCCGGTGGATCTAAAACTTCTTTTTCTAAAAAAAAAAAAAATTAAAAATCACTATTTGACCACAAAACGAAGTGCAGCTACTGTAGAAAAATAAATAAATTTTTGAAAAAATTCTTTCATCCTCGAGATTCTGAGGGCTGAAGTGAAAAGGCAGAAGTGCCTTGCAAAGCACAGAGATTGTTTATGGAGTGCTGCCATTCCAGCAGCCAGGGAGGAGCTGGAACAGGAGCATGTGCCCAGGGGAGATGCTCATTCCGGAGGCAGGGAGCGCTGGGGGAGCCCAGAGCAGAGAGGAACTGAGCTTTGGGRTTCTGGAAACTTCCCTCCTGTGGCCCTGGAGCCACAGCACCATGGCAGCTCCTTCTGCACAGGCAGAGCCAAGGGGAAAATGGGAAAATTTAACCCATCCCAGAGAGGGAGCTCACAGAGCAGCRGGAATGAAATCTGTGCACACCCAGGGTGGGCATCCCCTTGGAATTSCATCCACTGGGAATTCCACTGAATTCTTGTAGGATGTGCTGGCTAAAGCCATCCAGTGTTCCATTCCATCCATCGGGATGGCCCTGAGGGAAAAGGAACACGGATTTGATCCCATGTTTCCATCACCACCCCAGAGGTTTTCAAAGCTGTGAATCCWGGTTTTCTGGTTATGGGGAGGTTGTGGAATTTCTCCTTCAGCAGGRTGTGATAAATCTCAGGCTTTCAGGTGTTTTGAGAACATTTTTCACTCTCCAGAAATTGTTGAGGTGTGGGAAGCCCAGGGAAGTTTGGTGTTTGTTGCCAGTGAGGAATGACTCCCAAATTTCATTGCCATAAGTGCATTTCCAAAAAATAAAAAATTAATAATTCCAAGCTGCATCTGTTGAAATTGCTTCTTGAGTTCATCCATGTGAATCTCCAAACTGGATAGGAAAAGGAGGAAGGTGTCTTATCCCTGTTTCTTGGTGCTGGACATTATTCCTGAGCYTCAGGAACATCTCTGCCACTACTCTGTGTAGGGAGAGCAAACAGAGCGGAAGACATCCCAAATAATTCATTATTCCAGATAATCAGTTATTCCAGATAATCTGTTATCCCAGATAATCAGTTATTCCTAATAATCAGTTATTCCCAATCATCAGTTTGAGGAGTCAGTGAGGACGATGCTGGGATCTGTAATTCAAGCTGATCCTGCAAAGATTCCAAAGGATTGCTTGGCTTTTGGGCACGGTCTGAGGTGGTTCTTTCTTCCTTTGTTCAGACTTGAGAGGGAAAAAAAAAGAAGTTACAGATCCTAATGTTGTTGCTGCCTTCAAAAGAGAGGGATTTGGGAGTGTTTGCTCASCATTCTCCCTCTCAGGCCTTCATTTAGATAATGGCACTTCCCCTGACTCCCAGGAAGTCAATAAGGTTTATACCGGAGCCGTGGCACTCTGTAAATTAAATATCAGGAGCGGCGTTTGAAGTTTGCAGCCCTCCCTCCTGCTGCAGCTCGGCTTCTCTGCCACTGCGCTTTTGCCTTTCTGCCTGAGCACCTTGCTGACAAGTGCTAATAACGAAATGCCAGGAGAGGGTCCGGTCGGAGTTGCCACGCATTAAACATCCTGAACTTGTCCTTTTTGCTCGTAGATTGCGCATAATTAATAATTAAACGGTTTCGCTTGTAATGGGTTGACCTCCTTGAACTGTTCATTATTCACGAGGCGAAGGCATCACTCAAACTTTTTTTTTTCCCACTGCCCTTCCCCGGCTCGGTGTGCGCAGCTGAGTTGGTTTGGAGGAAGCAGAGGCTGCTCTTGGCTTCTCCTGCAGCAGATCCCAGGGGTGGGATTGGAGCTTGGGTGCTCTGAAAGCAGCCAGGCCTGGGAATGCTGGTCCATGGACCCTTAAAACCCTTTATGTCTTTACTGCCATTTTAGCACCATCCTCAATATTGAGGTCTTTGTGATCCTGGTCAAAGGCTGTGGCAGGTAATGGAAAGGAAATGACCATTTCCCATTAAAACCAAATAGATCTGTTCTTCACTCCTTGAAAATCTTGGATTTCTGCTTTTTCTCCCTGCATAGTGCAGTTTCATTGTGTAGGGGGAGGATGAGGCCAGTCATTGGGGTGCAGCAGATGTGAGCATGTTCCATCCTTCAGGCTGGACAGAGACATGCACCTTTCCTTTATTTCCTTTTATTCCCATCCCTWTGAGTGTCAGATGAAATCTGGGAAAGCTCAGGATGCAGTGTAGGGTCTGCAGATCCTGATCCTTGAGCAGCCTGGGCTGGTGGAAGGAGTCCCCAAGATTCAGCCTTGACCTCCCTGAGACCCCCAAAAAGCTTTCAGTTTCTCAGGCAAATATCCCATAAATCTGTGTGTCCCCAGCCTAAAGTCCTCAGGATGGCTCTTGAAGCAGCTCCTTCCCATCCCGAGGTCCATGGTGTGCTCATCTCCACCCTTCCACCACCACCTCTTCCTCAGCCCCTAGGGCAAACTAACCAAGCAGTCTGGATGAGGCTGAAAATCTGGACTGAACAGAAAAATACGCCCAAAAAAAAGAAAAAAAAAAAAAAAAAAAGGAAAAAAGAAAAGTAGGATTTAACATTTCCCTCCGTTTAGGTGAAATGTTCTTAGGCAGGAGCTCCTTCTCCCCTGGCTGTTCTGCAGGACAGGAGCTGCACAGTCCAGGGTTTATGTTTTATGGAGCAACTTCTCCCATTGTCTGGATGAGCCCAGAGGGTTTGGAATGAGCCTGGAATGGTTTGGAATGARCCTGGATGGTTTGGAATGAGCCTGGWTGKTTTGGAATAACCAATGCGGGATGCTGGTGGCTTCGAGCAGCCCATGAGCTTCTCCTCCCCGCTGGTAATGAGGTTTCTCTCCATGATGGGTCCGTCATCTCTTGTGAATGCAGAAATTATCACCTCCGGAATGAGTGTGAAATGCCGGGTGCCCATCCCCATCCCGCAGCTCGGCCTGAGCTGAGCTGGCAGCTCCTGCCGGGGATGGTTGGGTTGGGTTGGAACAGCTCCTCACTTGCCTTTTAGTTAAAACAAACAGGGGATGGATGGCTGGGGAGAGCCAGTCCCCAGGGAATGAGCTCCCATGGATTCTGTTCCGGGAGCATTTCCTGCCTGTCCCTCCTTGGGTCCATCCCAGTGGCTCAGGGAGCAGCCCAGGAAGGCTCTGCTGGGCAGAAGAGACGGATGGGGAGAGGCAAACCCTGCTGGGCTCCCTCTGAGCAAGGCTGGCGTTTTCCTCTGCCTTTTCTCTYCCAATACAGACCATTTTCATGGGCGCTTCTTTGAAGCGGAGGAAGTTTGATTGTGCTCCTGATTTCCTTGTGTTCACTCTCCAGCATAAACCTTCCCCTGATCGCTGTCATTTCCAAGTTTGGGAACAATAACCTCTCCCTCACCCGGCCCGAGTTCAAAGGGAATCTGGCCGTGTTCTATCAAACACCCCTTGCATTTAATAGAACTCTTTGAAAACCGTCGAGCAATTTTGGCTTCTCCTTTTACTCTCCAGTCACTTTCGGTTTAATTGTATTTTCCAGCGGTTTCCAATTGTTCGGATCGGAAACAAAAGCCTTAATAAGAGTTCTAGTTAATTTTCTGTCTTGTAATTACCGATCTCATTTTTCTGATAATTGGCCACAGCAATTATATGTATATTTACTAATCACACAGGAGGCTCTGCAGCCGTGTCTATCTGCCACCGCCGATAATGGCACGCGCRCATTGCAGAGGTGCTTTTATCATCTTCTTTTTTCCACTACATCAAAGCTATTTCCCCGCTGCCCGTAATGAATACATGCATGCATTTGACACAGTTGTGTGCGAGAGAAATTGTTTGGCTCCCACCAAATGCTGCACGCTCCGAGTTTCTTGCCTGCAGCGCTGGAAGGTTGTATGTAATGATATATTGCTCATCCAAATGGCCAAAGCACTCCAAAGCGCAGTGAGATTAAAATAAGTCATTCCTTTGTTAATTTAAATAGGTGCATGTATCATACTTTGCAGGGTACTTTGTGCGGGGATGTCAGGGAGGGAAAAGAGACGCCGAAAGGTATTTTTAATAGCAAATGAGAATAGATGAGAATGGAGTCATTTGCAGCTGCGTGTTTTATGTGGCTCTCTTGTTCCAACTGTAGGTCTAATGAGATGACACTGTGAAAGTACTCTGCAGTGTAATTTCATTACATCCTGAGCTGTTCCACCATAAACACAGTGGAGCTCTCCGTCATTCTTGGAAAAACTCCTAAATTCGTAAAGCCCTTCTTTGCAAATGGTGATGTTGTTTGTTCCCTGGTCCCAATCTTTTTTTTTTTTTTCCTCTCTCATGCTCTTTTTCTTTTTTTTGTGCTCATAAATACTGGGTGGTTGTTTTCTACCACTAGCCTGGTAAATCCTGCTATCTTTTTTTTTTTCTTTTTGGCTTTTAAAATTACTTTTTTTTGCCTTTTAAATCCTGAGCAGGCAGCATATGAGGACAGCCTGGAAAATGAATAAGTGTAAATAAACATGAGTGTAAATAAATAGCAAATGCAGTGAAAGAAACAAAGGTCAACACAAGAATAATTTCACAGCTCTTTGTTAATTACAAGACCATTTGTGTGTTACTTAAATAATCATTAATTTCTCATTTACACTTTCCCTACCTTCCTTTTTACCCTGTGGCTATCATTGTCCTTTTTTCACCTCCCCTCAGTGTCTTTCCACATGTTTTTACCCATTGTGTAATACTCATTAGTTGAAATTCAGTGTTTTATAACACGTTCTGCAAAGAATTTGTACCTTTCTCCCTGGAAGAGAGGGAGTGTGAAAAGGGTGTTTGGTGGGGTTATTATTCTTTTNGGGTTTTTTTTTTGGGAGTGTGTTTGTGTTTTGTTTTGCTGTCATTTTGCTCTCCTCCTCAACAAAACACTCTTCCCTGCTTCTGATTCCTCATCTCGCTGCAATCCCAGGAATCGCCGGTGCTTCCAGCYGGGGAGTTCTCGGAGCCCTTCGTGCACTTCATTACTCAGTGGTGAGCTCTGCCTCTGCCCACGTGCCTGGGGTGGGAATGATCCATGCCTCATGGAAATGATCTATGCCCCTATACCTGGGATGGAAATGATCTGTACCCCTATTTCCGGCATGGGAATGATCCATTGCCCCATACCTGAGATGGGGATGATCCATTGCCCACACGGAAAGGACCCATGTCCCCATACCTGGCACGGAAATGATCCATTGCCCACATGGAAAGGATCCATGTCCCCATACCTGGCACGGAAATGATCCATTGCCCACATGGAAAGGATCCATGCCCCCATACCTGGCACGGAAATGTTCCATTGCCCCCATTCCCAGCATGGAAATGATCCATTGTCCCCGTACCCGGGATGGAAACGATCCATGCCCCCATGGAAACAATCCATGCCCCCATTCCCAGCATGGAAATGATCCATGCCCCCATGGAAACGATCCATTGTCCACATGCCCAGGATGGAAATCATCCATGCCCCCATTATGGCAATCTTATTTACACAAAGTCTTATAAAATACAAGAATTGGGATTTTCGGGGGTTTTTTTTAACCTATTCTAATCAACCTCGCCCTGATTGTGGGTGCTGGGACTCCATTAATTCATCTAAAGGGGGAGAGTCTGTGAAACTCATGGGTGTGATATTATTTAGGGGGTTGAAAAAATATTTCTTCTAAAACTGCCTGGATATTTAGGAAGACGAGCAGCCTTGATGGATTCATTGGCTTTTCAGTAAGTAATTTTTACTGAGAGCTGTGGTTTAAACCACACCGCTGGGTGTATTTGCTSTCCTTAAAACTGAACGAGTTCATTGGAAACCTTTTAAATTAAAGGAGAATTGGGGAGAGGAGGCAGTTGTAGAATAAAGAATATAGTTCTTGAGTCAGCAGAGGATACAAATCTGGAGGATAAGAGATCCTAAAGAAGAAAAACAAAGGGGAAAATCTCTTTTTAACTGTCCCACATCCTCCAAAAAACACATAATTTAAAAAGGGGAGGCATTTATTCACAGCAGAAGAAATAAGCTGGAATTTTGTACAAATGGGATGTGTTGGAGGGAGAAACAACCCCTCATGTATTGCCAGGAGTTCAGCTGGGTTAAACAGAGGGAGCCACTGCAGTGGGAGCTGTGGCTGGATGGGAGCAGGAATCCAGGGATGTGCCCTTATCCAGGGATGAGTCCTGTTCCAGGGATTTGCCCTCCCCCGAGCCCTCAGCCCCACACAGACCCAGAGGTTGGGCTTGGCATGTTTTGGAGTTTTCTGCCACACAGYGGGGCTGCTGCAGCAAAAGTGACCCGATAAAAGGGGATTTTGCCCAGATCATGCAGGAGAAAGTGTCTCAGAGGCCAGCCCCAGMCTGRAACAAGCACAGGCACAAAAAGCAGCCTGATGATGGGTTAATTAAAGTAACTAAATAATTAAAGTTTGTGTAACAGAGGCCTCAGTTTTCAATAGGCTCACCTTACACAGACCAAGGGTATTTGAAGGGTTCTGCAGCACAACCCCGGGCGGGGAGCTCCAGGCTTTTATCCTCCCCAAAATATCGATGACAGACTGATTTGAAAACAAGAGTGGAGGCAGAGGGAGGGCTAACCTGGGTTAAAATCTCCCCAGATGTCAACCTGCAGTGTAAGTGATGGTGGCTAATAGCCTCGCTCTCCCAGGGGCCACGGCTACTTGGGGCTGTCAGATCAGAGCTGCTGCCTCAGCCAGCTTGTGGGACTCRCTTATTTGAGGGCCTTGCAGTTATTTGTAGGGGAAGGCAAATCATGTCCTTAATATCTCCAATTTCCAGCACAGCTCGTGGAGTATTTTATCTGACACTGTATTAGCTCTGCTTTCCAGTGGGGGGAAATTTCTGCTTAAAAATTAAATGTAAAAAAAAAAAAAATCAAATGAAGAGCAACTCTTTATTATTTAAGCAATCAATTTGGAATAACTATGAGAGATGTCAAGTGAGCAGCATCCCAGATTTCATGCCAGTTCCTCCATAAAGTCTGGCTGCTTGGATGGAATCCAATTAGTCCGTAGGCAGCTCCTGATGGTCACCTCGGCGCCACGTTATTGCGCTCCCTCACGCAGCTCAGCACAGCCTCCGCCAGCTAATTGCACCTGTTGGACAGAAAACTGGGAGTGTTGGGAGGAGAAACGTGATCTGATAACCAGGTTAATGCTGGGTAATGAACTATCACCCTGCAGGGTAATGCAAATAAACGGGGGAAATGAAGGTAGGAACCCCAGGGTATTGCTGTGCAGCGGTGGAGCTGYATTTCCCACCTGTTTGGATAATTCTGTCATAATCCTCAGAAAAAATGGGAATCTGTGCTTCCTGAGCTGAGTGGTTTTCAGGGATTTCTGTATTTACGCACTTTGCATGGTCACAAACATCCCATAAGGGAAGGCTGGGAGGGAAGGAAAAATCCATTCATATTTTGGTYGCTGCTAGAAGCCCTGTCTCCCATCAACACCTGATAAAATGAATGCACTAAAATTCTTCACTCTGTGATAAAAGAGATATAATACAATTCAATATTTAAACATTTSAAATAAATGAGCGGTTGTTTGAAAACAAATATTTTGTTTTATGCCACAGCATGAAGAAGCAGCCAAAGGAAAGGCCAGCACCTGAAGATTTAATGGTAAGTGAAACCTCAGTTTGGATTTGTCTGGGAATGGTTTTTGGTCATTTATATAGAAATGTATCTCTTCTTTTTCTTCATTTTTCAGTGTGCTCAGTGTATTTCTCTCTAAACTCTTTCTGCTTGTGCAGCAATTCCATATTTGCACAGGTGGAATGATGATTCCACTGAAATGGTTGGGTGTTTTGCTGTTACCTTCGCTTGTGATTTGGGGAGTTAATGCAGAGCTTTCACAGCCAGTATTGAGTTTCAATCAAAACCATTTTGATGCTTGATACACATTTTTTCTTTCCAGTTTGTATGTCCAGGGATTGCAGCTTAATGTAGGTCACTCTCTGTCAGCATCTGCCAGCCTTACCCTTCCCAAATGTGGAGACTGAAAGCGGAGGAAATGGCTAAAATGTGTATTTTAATGAAATGCAGGACCCACTGTTTTCACTGGTGTCCGTGTAAAATTTAATCAGATTGGCTGCAGTAGAATGAGAGAAGATTTGTCAGCGGTGCATCCATGGAAGGGTTCTCAGGGTTGCAATCTGAGCTSAGAGCCCACTTCTGCTGGCAATTGTTATTTTTTCAATTATTACCTATTGCTATTTACAGCAATTTMCACAGAGTCATGATCCCCTCTGACTCCTGTCAAACACCTTTGATTTTTGAATGTTCCCTTACTTTCCTTTAAATGCTGTTCACTGTAACTCGGAGCTCACATGAAACCATCGTGGTTTATCTGCTGGGCATGAAATACACAGGAATAATTGTGATATAGGAATAATTGTGATATAGGAATAATTGTGATATAGGAATAATTGTGATATAGGAATAATTGTGATAGGTTTTAACCATTTAAACCAAAGATAAAGACTCTGGTGCATCCTCTCCTTCCTGGCCTCTGCTCTGGGAGCTGCGAGGAGAATGAAACAGGGTTTCTGTCACAGCAGTTCTCCAGTTAAAGGCYAATCTCTGAAAATGCCCGGGGCAGGTAGCTCCCAACCCAGACTGGTCTCAGTTGTGGTCCTGGTTAGGAAAGTGTTTAACTGCGAATCTTATTTTAAGGATATTAACTTCACCAGATTAACTTTAACTTTACCATTATCAACTTGAAGTTGGGTGCCTGATTAAACACCTCACAAAAATGAGGTGTAAACTTCATCAGAGCCCCTCCGCTTTGGGGTGTCTCACACCGAAGGCTTCTGCCACCCGATTTTTGCCTTTTTTTTTTTTATTCCCTTTTGATGGCTGGGAAATTCTTGCAGTTAGTCACATCTGAGAAAACTTGGAACAGGTTCCAGAGCCGCGGCCACATTTACCTTGCGCGCCGTTCCGCCATGGCTGGCTGGCTGGGCTATTAAAACAATGGAATGGGGCTCCATAAAACCTCGATCTGTTTGGAAACGCACGGCGCCGTGATGCAATGGGCCTGCCGCTTATAAATAAAACATCTGCAGCTCCCCCCAGCCCACTGTGAGCGCGTGTGTGGATGTTTGGAAGCAATAACACCACTCCAGGGTGTAGAGCCATAAAAATGAGGCCAAAGGGTGAGCGCCTGCAGTAGCGGGGAAGTGCACAGATTTATCTTTACAACTACGTGCCCTGCAGTGTGCTAGTCCCCTTCAAAGGAGGCGTTTTGTGAAATTATTTGGAAATTCCGGCGCCTCTGGACAAAAAAAAAAAAAATTAAAARATCATTCCTACTTTTTAAACAATTTAATGCCTTTTCCCCCCTCGTGCTTCTTTCTGTTTGGTTAGAAATGAACTCGCAACAAGTAGGAAAAAACGGGATCTGCTCACTAAACTCGTTATGTTTTTGTTCTTCCTCAGTCTTGTCAAGGACAATTTTGTTCATAAAATTAATATCAATATATACATTAGAATTATGTGCCTGTGTACACAGATATGAACAGCAAATCTGTGCCTAAATATGTGTATGTAAATTAATAGAATTGCTGGAATATGAGGCCACAAAAAAGCTCTTAAATTTCGAGTGATGTAAATAATGGTGGATATAAGGAATTCCCAGAGTGATGTAAATAGTGGATATAAGGAATTCAGAGTGATGTAAATGTGGTGGATATAAGGAATTCACAGTGGTATAAAAAGGAGTGGATATAAGGAATACACRGAGTGATGTAAATAGTGGATATTAGGAATKCACTGTGATGTAAATAATGGTGGAKATAAGGAATTTAGAGTGATGTARATGKTTGATAYAAGGAATTCAGAGTGTTGTAAATAGTAGTGGATATAAGGAATTTACAGAGTGRTGAGTGAAACCCTGGATCTTCAAGGTCACCTTATCACTGATTGAAATTAGAGCAGGATTTCACCTCGTTCATTGAATTTGGGTTTTTTTTTTTATTTAAAAGCACTGTGCCAGCAGTGATGGGAGGTGTCACACACAACCATCCTCACCTTCAGACAAACCAGAGCATCAGCTCCCTCCCCTGCAGACACCAGCCCTACTGGAATCACTATTTTGTAACCAATTTAGGATAATTAAAGACTGAAAGCAAAACGAAGGGAGCAGAACATCGATTTTTCCTCCTCTCCTGATAATCAGTAGATTGTTAAAGGCATTTGAGGAGCTGCCTGGTAATTCCTGGAGTGCCAGACTGGCACCTCCGCCAGAGTCCTGGGGCCGCAGCAGGGATGGATTTCCTGTTTTTTTTATAAAACTCARAATGCACATTCTGTCAGGAAACAGGGCTGAAACCAAAGCTGGATGAAATTCCTGTTCAAAGTCAGGCTTTTCTTTACCATAGATATTCACGTGCAGGTGAACACCCAATGTCYATCACAGCTGGTGTGGGTCAGGTTCCTGTATTTATTTGTTTCATTATTTATTTACTCCCTGCCCTTTCTGCCATGTAGCCACCCCCAAAACGAGATACCCCATTGCTTTTTCTGTACATACATCATCAAATTAACTGACTTGTCCCACAGCASTGAAATAAGGAATTTCAGCAAGTGATGGGGAAGTTGTCCATCCAGGGAAAGGAACAACCTCAGGATTTACCAGCGGTCACTCTAAACTTATTCTGAAGTGCTGCTCTTTTATCTGGAAATAAAAGAGTTTGTTTCTCTCTTAAGAAAAATACAGAGAGTCAATTAAATTGAATRTATTCCTGTGTTATCACAGGGAAGACTGCACAGCATGTTCCTGTCTCTCSTCTCCCTTTCTAACACAAAAATCTCAACAATTCTTCTGCATAAAGAGATTTTTATCCCTTGCACTTGTGTTTTTGACCAAAACCACAGTGTCTTCTGGCATCCCAGGCCTGCCTCCCAGGGCAGGGCATATTTAGGAGTTTGGTGGAGCAGCACAGGGATGGTTTAAACTCCTGCTCATGCCCGGAGCCCAGGGAAGGACCGGGCTGGCTCCGGGGCTGTGCCTGTGCCCATATTTGCGGTGTTTTTCTGAAGCTTTCCATCCTAAGCTCTATTTAATGGAATCTATGCATAGCAAGTAATCAGGTCAGAGAGAAGCAGCATCCCCCGTTTGAGATCAATCGCTGGCTAATACTTTATCTAGGCCACTTTATTATCTCATGCTGATTCCGGTGCCATTCTCCTCCTCCTTTGTCGCCCGCGCTTCAGCTGTGCTAAAAGTACGGCTCGCATACATATTAAAAACATATACCCATTCTATCTGTATGGAAATGGGGGAGGCACAGCTGGATATCGCAGGAGTTTGATTTACTAATAGTTATTATCTGTTCTAGCTGTTCGGAGGCAGGGAGAGTCGCAGCAAACAAGCTAGCGCAGAAATTGCCTTCATGATAGCGCTGCCCCGCTTTGGTAATTGTTTAAAATCTCTCCTTTAGCTGGGAGCTCGGCCTTTTCTCCTGCAGATCGGTCGCAGGGTTTTTTTGGGATTGCYGGAGTCTCTCGGTGAGGTTTTGGGTTTTTTCGTTAGTACGGTGTCGAGCTGTTCCACGCTGCATCTGGCTGTTGAAAGGAAAAACGTTTATGGGAAGAAATTGTATTTGAAACACCCAAAATCAGGGATGGAGCAGTTATTCTGTTTTGCTTTCCCATGGAGGTATCAAAATGCAGTTTTTMGGATGCTGCTTGGATTTCTCAAGGAAAGAAAGAGGCCAGAGGGTCCAGTCACCTCCTGCACTCGATTACTTTTGCACAGATCTARTGATTTTTGCTCAAGTTGTCAGGTYTTAAACATAACCAGGAGCTTTTCTCCTTTTTAAAATTGAAATTCCTGATGCTTTTGATGTTGGTGTTCAATAAATTTAGTAGTTGCGTGATGAATTGCACATCACCTGTGTCAAAGCTGCTGACATGCTGGAAACGTGTTCTCTTTTGGTAGTTTATTTATTTTAATGCCTAATGCAATTTCAAAATTTCTGATTCCTTTGYATCCAGCAATCCCTCTCCATTCCACAAATGGCTCTAGACCTGGCACCCTGATTTTATTGGTTAAAATGGGGGGGGGGGGGTGTTTCCCCCAGATAAATCATTCATTTGTGAATTTAAATGTCTTAAGACATGTGTCAAGATGTTAGAGACTCAAAAATGGATTCTGGATGCCTGTTTCCACATCTCCAGCAAGTCCAGGAAATTAAAAATGTGAAGCTTTTAAGTAGCTGTATTTCAAGCAGCAATATTTTATGTAGCTTTATTTTAGAGGGTCTGGACAGCARCTGAACATATTTGCAGTTCATTGTGTTAAACCCCTGGCCTCAGCTCGGAGGAAACACTTTTATGGTTTAAACAAACAAATGGAGGATCAACATAATCCTGCCGGGATTTTCATCTAAACCCTCAGAATAAAGCCAATAAAGCACTGCTGCTTATGTTTGTCAATAAAAGAGCTTTCCCCCMGCAGCAKCRGGGCAGTGACATCGCTGGGRTAGGGATGGTGGTGRCTTTTGGGACARACCAGAGGTCTCTCTGCACTTGGCTTGTCTCRTGCACACACCCCAGGGAKCTCGTGAGATCAGCTTTGGAGATCCATGGATGTTKGCTGTACCTATCCAGATGTTTGG